AAACTATTGTTCTCACTCCTGAGGTATTCCTATAAATTCTTTTTTTTAAAAAATATATCTTTATTGATTTCAGAGAGAGGAAAGGAGAGGGAGAGATAGAAACATCGATGATGAGAGAGTCATTGATCGGCTGCCTCTTGTACTCTCCCCACTGGGGATCAAGCCCACAACCCGGGCATGTGCCCTGACAAGGAATCAAACCCTGATCGCCTGGATCCTAGGTTGACACCCAACCACTGAGCCACGCCCGGCCGGGCCCTATAAATTCTTTAGCTAATCCCTTCAATTTCTTAATCCAGTCACCCTACCCCTTTCCTCCGGCACCTGCCAGTCTGTTCCACATATTCATGCCTCTGTTTCTGTTTAGTTTGTCAGTTTATTTTGTTCATTAGATTCCACATATTAGTGATATCATATGGGATTTTCCTTTCTCTGACTGGCTTTTTTCACTTAGCATAATACTCTCCAGGTCCATCTATGCTGTCGAAAGAGTAAAAGTTCCTTCTTTTTTATAGCCACATAGTATTCCATTGTGTAAATGTACCACAGCTTTTTTATCCACTCATCTACTGATGGGCACTTGGGCTGTTTCCAGATCTTAGCTATTGTAAATAACGCTGCTATCAACATAGGGGTGCATAGGTACTTTCTAATTGGTGTTTTAGGATTCTTATGATATATTCCTAGAAGTGGGATAGATGGGTCAAAAGGCTGTTCAATTTTTAATTTTTTGAGGAAATTCCACACTGTTTTCCATAGTGGCCGCACCAGTCTGCTTTCCCACCAACAATGTACCAGGGCTCCCTTTTCTCCACATCTTCCCCAGCACTTGTCATTTGTTGATTTATTGATGGTAGCCATAGAAGGATCCTTAAAGATCATTCTAGCAGGGTGGGAGGTGGTATAGTCCTTAAGTGTGCAGCCTCTGGAGCCAGACTGCCCTGGGTTCAAATTCTGGCTCTATCACTTCAGCTGTGTGAACTTGAGTAACTTCTTTTTCTATACCTCAGATTCTTCATCCTTAAAATGTGGACACTAATAGAATAATAGTACTCACCTGGTGGACACTCATTGAGCTAGTTCTCCCTTCCCCAGTCTCAGCAACCTCTTACACTGTAAATTAGGAAGCCGAGGCCCAGAGGGAAAGAAGAGACTCACCCAAGTTCACACAATGAGTTCAAGGCAGAACTTGGCCAAAACCCAGGTCTCCTGGGTGGCCTCGCAAAGGCCCCAGCCCAATGCTTGTTTCTATAGCTCATGTAGTCCTCTCTACTCACAAAGAACATTAAAAACTTGTATAACCAGGTCATTGGCAATTTTCTGTCTCCCAGTGCTCATGGGGAAAAGCAGAAAAGGAATTCTCATTCTCTCTAAGGCTCTCTTTCTCTCTTTTTTTAATTCTCTGTGCACTCTCTCAAGCTGGCTCTCATTGGCTATGTCATTTCTCCCTTTTCATTTTCTCCCTCTTCAGTTCCCTCTGATAACTCAAAACCATCTGAATAGATTTAAATAAACCTCTCCTCAAATAGTCTCCTTCAATGGGGAGAGGATGGAAAGTTCAGCCCAAAGGGAGCATTTCTCTGATGATTATAATGAGGGCTGAATGGGGAGGCAGGCTGGTGATAGGACTGGTGGTGTAGTCAGGGTGCGAGGGTGAAGGGCTTGGAGACCAGGGGCATGAACTGAGGAGAAGGGATGCTATTGGCCAGGACTAAACTGGGGAGATCCCTGAATAAGGACTCAGAGGAGTCAACACATGGGGACTCACAGACAGCCAAGCTTGAGAGGCCCAGAAGGTCCATCAAATCCACACTGACTCCTGTCCCTCCTCCAATACACACACACACACACACACACACACACACACACACACACACACACACGCATGCACACCAAATAAGGACAAGCTTTCCAAGGGGCTTACCAAGTGAAGTGTTGAGTAGTGAAAAACCCTATTAAATGTCCAAAGTGTCACCTGGAGAAGGGATATCTTAACGCATTAGCTCCAGTTAGTGACATCACACATGTGAGTTTATTATTTGCCTCTAAAATTACATATTACAAATCTCTAGTACCCAAGCACTGTGATCAGCCAATAAGGGAAAGTACTACGAAAAATAAGCAGCCAACTGTCTCTGAGTGCTTGCCATGTGCCAGGCACTGTTTTGGGTGTTTCACATGCATGAATTCATGAAATCCTGCAACAATCCAAGGAATCTGGTAAGATTAAAACCCCCATTTTCTGCTGGGGGAGGAGGGTGGAGGGAGGTAGAGGAGGGTATAGTGTGGATAAATGGTGATGGACATGGACTTGCATTGGTGTGGTGAACACTCACAATACAGTGTACAGATGATGTGTTGTAGAATTGTGCACCTGAAATTGGTATAATTTTGTTAATCATTGTCACCCCAATAAATTCAATAACAAGGAAAAAAAATTTAAAAATCCTCAAAAACCCATTTTCCAGAAGAGAAAAGGGAGGCCCAAACTAGTTAAATAACTTGCTCAAGATCATACAACAAGTAAGTGACACAGATGGTTTTAAACTTGGCAGCTTGGCTTCAGAGCCCATGAACTTCAACACTGTGCTATGCAGAGATAAACAAAATAGGTCCTTCCCTCAGAGAGTGGACAGGCCTGGAAGAGAGACCCTCTGACAGCAAGAAGCTACCTTTCAGGCTAGCAAATAATGTCAAGTAAACAACTCGGTGAGTCAGGCAACTGCATTCCAGTTCTGAGCTGTGTGACCTTGGGCAGGTTATCTGACCTCAGACAAAGCCAGAACCCTAAATCACAGGCCTGTTGGGTTGATCCATATGTGAAAGTGTCTAGTAACCCTTACAGAGCAGAGGGAGGGACCTTCTATAGCACCCTGCTCACAAACCCCATGTTCAGTTCCCCACCAGTCAATTATATAGGGTGTCCCCCCAAAATGTATACCCACTATAATAGCTGATAGCTCAATAGATGTCTCTTTCTTTTCAGATTTAACCCATTGGAATTAACAACAGCAGCCAAAGTGTGTATATGTATATTTTGAGACAATCTGCATGCACCCGTCTGTGTGCTTATCCCAGTATAAACTTGTGTCTCCCAAGCCAACAGTACTCACACCCCAGCAACCCCACTGTGCCCCAAGAAAAAACACTACTTGTAGACATGCACACACCTCTCCCTGCAAACATACACACTCCTATGCATATGCACAGCCCTATCCTTGCACACATGTGCCCATCCTTATGTACACAACCACTACCTTGAAACTCTGTCTGCAGGAGCCCTGACCACAGGACTCAGAAATCTGGTTCTCATGCAGCCCAGCTAGTTATTCTATCACGTGGAGGCTGCAGGCAGGCAGGCATCAGTGGGGCATGGGGGCCTAGAGATGGATAGAGTGGGGTGCACAGTGCAGTGTGGAAGAGGCTGGTCAGGAAGGCAGCAGATGCTGGTCAGGCCCAGCCTTTTAAGCAATCTGTTTAGCCCTGCAGCTAAGGAGCCCATTAGCAGTGGCTTCTCATTTCAGATTTCCCAGCATGCCATGGCCCGCAGACTGCGCACTGTTTATTTGGAGAAGCTGAGAAAAATTGTTTGTATAATTAGAGCAAGGACAAGGGCTGCTGTTGAAGGGGTTTTCCTCAAGGAGCCCTGAGCTTGCAGCAGATGTGAGCTCCAAGACCTCACCACCCACCCGAGGAGTTCCCGGCTAGGGCCCAAGAACAACAGAGGCCAGTGGCTGGGCTGCAGGACCTCCACAGTGGCCTCTCTGGCCCCCTCTCTTGGTAATAACTGACTGGACAGACCACCATTGTTGTACCAGGACCAGACAGAGAGAAGAGAGGGCCAAGAGGTCGTGAAGTCACCACAGGGTGCAAAGAGCCCAGGCTTTCAATTTAGATCTTTGCTTCACTGAGCCTCTCTGGGTCTCAATTTCCTCATCTGGAAAATGGATATGGTAATATACCTATTAGAGCCTAGTGGCTGGGAGGAGGAACAAGCTCTGTGTCAGTGTCTAGCAGGATGCCACAGTGTCCCATACAGGCCTTCTCTCTTGCCCTGTTCTGTGGTGGACCTTGATTCTTTGTTTCTTTCAAATCAGATCATTGCCTTCTGAATAATTAGC